CAGCGGCAAAGATTAGATCTTTTAGCCGGGTAATGGTCAGGTGTTATTTTTTATTTAATATTTATGTTTATGTGCTATAGAGGTAAATATTGAAGTTTAGGTGTGAGATATGTAATAGTAAATACTCCTATATATATATATATATATATATATATATATATAGGTATAATATTCCAACAAATGGCTTAGAAATCCCTTAGGACCCATTTCCAACAAGTTGTAGCTCGAGCAACATTGATTTCATTTGTTCACTCTTTTAAGTTAGATGATATAGTTTGTCACTCCTTTTGAGTCGTTTCTCCTTTAAGTGCCATCAACATTATAAGGTTCATTCTTCATCGTCTTAGAACTAATTTCACAACCATTTATTAGCTCCAACTTACCTTGGAGCTATTCTTTTCACTATGTTGTCAACTGAAGCATTCTAAGCATACTTTGCATACTGTCACTAACAATTTTTTAGTTGTTTTTTTTGCTTACTTTGGTTGTTAGAGAAGAATCAACACAACTAAGTCTTAAAGTTGCCAACTCATGTGGTACAATTACCATTAATAGTTTGATGCCTACGAAAACTTTATTATAAGATATAAATATATGCCAAAAGTTTTAATACTTGAGGGTAACTTTGTTTGCAATACGCAAGACATTTAACTGTTATAATAATAATAATAACAATAAAAAGAAGTTAAGAATACCTTAAACTATCTAGGCAGACTATTGAAGGAGATCTCTATGCTCCAGTTAGAGAAAGAACTCGCATAAAAATTCCAATAATACAGTTGATTATGATAATCAAGTGCTCATCAATTTGGTTAAAAATGTAACCGGACATTGAAATTTTTTGTGATGCTTTGTAATTGTTTTATTCCAAGGCAAGTTAGTCAACATAATGTAAATCTTCTGAAAATCATCAAAATAATTAAATAAAAGTATATGGAATGTTTGATAGCTATATGCAATGATATAAATAAAGCAAGGAGCTAGGTAATTTGGAGCTTTAAGATGGTGACATAGTTTTTCTAAAATTTATCAAGCTAATAAAAAACGAGTAAAATGGAACAAGTGTGAGCAATCATAACATTTCCCTTTGTATATAATCATATTAATATGGCTAATTGAAGTGCGTGGACAACAATACATAATATAAATAACATTTTGATATTTTATAATGTCAAATTATCTATAGTAGAAAACATATGCTTGCAAGCTTGTTTTGATGGCACCCAAAAAAATAAAAATGGCGAGCCAATTCATATATATGACATGTGAAAGGACAAAAACACATCTTGCGAGGTTTTAAATCACAAACATTTCTATTGAATGTAAACAAAATTTAGGCATTTTTTTATATAAATTCAATTTACTAGTGAAAAGTGAAGTTAGTTGGTAATCACTATCTCAACACAATCGCTTCTTTGTTTTTTTTTTCAACAGCTTATTAATTTATGTTATCTTATCCATAGACAATATTTTTCTATCGATGGCAACAAATGAAAATTGAAGCAGTACATAACATAAAACAACAAACTATTGGTTTCTAATAACTTTTTTAAGTCAAATAAATATTAGAAGACCTACTTTAATGCCTGCAATCCCTCAAAACAACTATTCCTAAAACAAGGAAGCAAAAGGAGGTGGATCACTAAAACCCTAGGTTGCAGTGGGAAGAACATGATGCGGTGAAGATGGCAGTTTTGGGCAAATTGTAAGAAGAAAAGCTTTTACCAACCAGTAAGCCAAATACAACTATGAAATCAAGTAGCAGCTCAAATTCATATGGAATCGAGGGAGGCGATGACGTGGGCAAGTTGACATCAATGGAACATTCGCACAATGTTGAAGAATCAATTTCTTAACATTGTCATAGATGAAGAAGCTTGAATCAGTTTAGTGTCAAGGAATGAGATGAATGAAATAGGGCTAATGTTTGTGTTAGAGATAAGCAGGTGAAGAAAAGCTTTAGCTTTTACATGCATTAAAGGTCCTCTGCCAGTCAAGCCTAACTTGCGCTAATCAGGCTTAAAGTTAATTGGGATTGATTGACACTAAACCACCCTTAGCTCCCTTTTGTAACCCATAAATGCCAATTAGATAGATTCTTAAGTTGACCAATTACAACTTTGGGAAAGAGATTGCAACACTAAGATGAGGTGGTCTTAATTTGAAGAAATATTAAGAGAAGATGAATTCCATAAATGACATGATTAGTGGTTGTGTAAATTGTTTTGCATAACTAAATTTATCAACCCATTTAGCTTTCAATGGAATTGAATGAAGGATGATTAATTTAAGTGTAATGGCTGATCCAAGATTTAAAGAGAGGGTGATGAAATTGTAATTATTAAGATAAATCGAAATTAGAAGTTTGTCTTCCGGAATTATATTAGTTAACAAAAAAACTTAAAGTAAATGGGGTTAAAAGATGAACAACTTAAAAAAAAAAGAAATTGAGAAGCTATTTGTTTGCATTATTTAACTTAGATTTAGTGTTAACTAGATAACATGAGCTTGTTTATCTTGAAAATAATTAATAGTTGAACTCAATTTAAATAAATAATAGATTCTAACATAGTTTAAATTAAAAAAAAACATATAAAGGAAAATGTAGGGGTTTGAAACAGTTTCTTGGAGCAAGTAAATGTTACAATTGTGCCAAATGTCCGAATGTCCGAATGTCCGAATGTCTAAATAACTTGTTCCAGTTTATTTGTCTATTTTAAGATCTAATGCAATATGTAAAATCTCGAAGAGTCGTTTGCTTGGAAGATTTAATTGAAATTTAGTCTTTGCTCAAGATTTAACTTAAACTAATGCCTAACAATTTTTGGAACATGCAAATTCTTCTCAAATAAGTCAGAGTACTCAAGATAATGCTCTTTAAAGAGAGAGTAGAAATAACAAGTTCTTTCTTTGATGCATACAAAATTTTGAAAAAAATCTCTTATAAAAAGATGCAAGAAAGATTCAAAGATTGTATAGAGACAAGTTATAATATGAAAAATTACATGTACTGAATTATATACATTTACCATACATATTATCATTTTTAATGCAAATAAAATATAATAAAATGTCACATAATAAATACAATGCATGAGACACCCAACATTGCAACATTTGGGGATAAGTTGATGTATGAGGCCATATCACTATATTTTAAAGAAGGGTTGACTCAAATTCATAGATTATGGAATTTTGGGTTCCGGGATAAAATATGTATACTCGATAAATTTGGCAGCAAGGAAGAAATGAGAATTTCAAAATTTTGGCGGCAGAAAGGGGAAAAGGCAAGAGGTTTGCAATTTTGGGCATAAATGGAGAGCACATTTATTTCGGTAATTAGGGTGTAGAAGAGACTTTTGGGAATTTGGAACGATGGGCTTATCAAGTTTTTTATTAAAATAAATAATTACTTAAATGGTTATTATTGCAAAATAAATTTTAAATATTGTTTATTTGGATTAGTTAATAGAATTATGATATTTTCATTACTTATTTTAGTTTGAGGTGGTGAGATTTTTGATATGCCATTAAGAGTTTTACTCTAAATTTAGGGGTGGTGAGTGCCCCAATTGGTTTTACCATCAAGTCAATCTCAAGCTTCTGCAATAACAAATACAGAGTATGATGATTATATGTACGCTAATGCCATCCTTCGTTGTAACTCCCTCCTCTAATTACCAGAAGTATCATTGTTTTTAAGTTCGAACACAAACTTGGTTTAATACTCAGGGCACAGAACATTAATCAGATGTGCAGAGTGAAGGCTTTATTCTTGAGCATCTGACAGCTGTCTAACATAGTCGAGCTCTAGGACGCACAGAACATTTATCTGGTGGAGTTGGGCTCTGGATGGGAGCTCTTTAATCTAACTATTCGGAGCGAAAGGTGGCAAAGATCTGTAGGGGAATTGTAAATGTGGTGCATGTGTGTCATGTCATGGGAGTGATGCACAGAGATCTAAAACGAGAAAATTCTCTCTTCTTGAGCAGGGATGAGGATCTCCATCTCAAAGCCATCAATTTCAGCTTTCAGTTTTCATTGAGGAATGCTAGTTCTTGGGTTGGTTGAAGGATTTTGATTTGAGCCAGGAGGAGAGCTCTTCAGTGGAAATAGACAGGTTCCAGGGCATAAAAGTTCAGTGGAAATTAACAACGGGAGCATAGAATTTGATTGAGCAAGAGAGAAAAACCTTTTGTTCTTAGAGAATTTCTTATTCATTTCAGTAAATATTTTTGGGTTAAGAGAGTAGAGATTATTTGTTAGTTGATATTATTGCCTGAGGAATTTAAACTTGAATCTATAAAGTGATTAAGTTTCATCAAAAAGGGCACCATAGGCTTCAGAAGTGTTACATCATGCAGATTTCACAGATTATTAGAAGGGGATAAAAAATGCTTCATAATATAGATGAGCAGCATACACCAAGTAGATTTACAGGATGAACTCTATACTGTTTTCTTGATGATAAGCACTTTTAGGTTATGTCTCTCTTTTAGGTTGCTAGGTATTTTTTCTTTTCTTATATTATAAACGCACATTGCTAAAAATTAGATATATATCAAGCCTTGTTGATGTACAACTAAACTTCTCTGCATACCAATTAACAACAACTTATATTTTGTTCAGATTGGGCACATCATCTGTTTTGCTTCCGCTATGAATGTTTTTCATTATGTTATTATGCAGTTGACTGACAGTAACTTATTTATTTATTTGTGCTTTTTATCAGCATATCTCTGATTAAACAGTGACTAAGGAGGCATTTTATTGTATGATTAGTGCTCTTACGATTTAAAAAAAAAACAAAAACATATATATATATATATATATAGAGAGAGAGAGAGAGAGAGAGAGAGAGAGAGAGAGAGATTCAAACAGTAAAATAGAGGTTTTAGTTTAGTTCCACATCACATCAGAACATCTCTACAGAAAGCTATCCATCATTTGGGTTTTTGTTTCTTGCTTCATAATCAAAGCTCCTTTATTTTGATGCGCAGGACAAAGGAATAACTGTTCTAAACGACGCAATTAAGGCTTGCAACGAAGCAATAGAGAAGCAGAAGGGTAAACTCATAGTGAAGGAATCAGCAAGAGCTGTGAGTTCTATTTAAAAAACTTTTATTAAACCATTCATCTAAATATAATTTGGTGGTGAAGAAGAAAGAAGTAGAATCTTCCCCTTCATATTTTATTGCCACTTCTGTGATATTAAAGTGATCATATCTACTTTTTCCTTGCAGGTGAGTGAACGCGAGGATAAGCTTCTTGCAGAGCATATGGATAAGCTACGATCTGCGAATGAAGAGATTGATGGAGATGCAGACAGTGAAGAAGAGGAAGATACAGGAATGGGTGAGGTAGATGTCGAAAATTCTGGCATTGCTGAATAAATCAATACTGAGAAAAAAAGGCTCATCTGGTGTTGCAGGAGAGAATTGCAGAGTGCCCTTCGTTTTCTTCCAAATTTATTAGAGTTGTTGTATAGATCACCTTTTGGGAATTCTGCCATTTTTATGCTTTCTGCAATGTGAGAAGCAATTATCACGTTGTTCTATTAAACGAGAAGAGTTTAAGTAAATCATTAGCTTTTTTCTACTTAATGGTGGATAAGGTGGGATGCAGCTTTTGGAAAGTTTCTATTCGTTTAGCTTGATTTTGATTTTAAGCCTTGTCTATGCAGCCTACTTATGTTTCTGAATCTTGTTGGTCAATTTCAAGTAGTGGTTCGTCTGGCAGTTCTGATTTGATTCGGGCCAGTTGGAAATTTTTTGGTTCTTAGTGGTTTGATATGTGATATCTGCAAAGTTTAATTGTATTGGGTGAAAATATCCTTGAATAATTAAATTTAGATTAAATAATTACTAGTAATTAAGATTTGATTAAGCAAAGAATATTTATTATTTGATTTTCTTAAGAAATTGTTTGAGAAATTTATTTAGGACGTTCGAGGAATCTTAAAGATAATATAAAGGGCCATTTACATGCATGTCACACAATTCTTATGTATTTATATATCATACACTTAAACATTCATATTTACATATAAATCACACAAATTCTTAACTAATATGAAAATGCCGTCAGAATCTATTAAATTTTTACTGTATTTTTTTATGCAGAGGTTTATGACAGATTTTGGAAGTGTAAATAGTAATAAGTAAATGCATAAGAATTGTGTATGTAAATTTTCTTAATTTAAATTGATTTAATTCATTTAATCCTTAGAACTTAAAACAATGCTTCTGTACATGTTTAGTAACTAAATTATAAATTATTATAAAAATATATAATTTATCAATAATATCACGTAGATAACTTTTGTAAAGTCCATATCCCTTCTTTGTTAAGTTTCATTGGCATTGTATAATAATTACGCTAGCAAGTAAATCTTTTTATTTATTTTAAACAAATATAAAATACTTTTGATGTGGCTATTCATTTGAAAAATAAACTTAAACTATGACTTACCATTACATATAAATAAATATTCACATCATGTTGCATGAATGTGTGTATACGTTTTATTTGTATGCAGACATTAAACAATAGTTAAACATGAAGATTCATAGTTTGGTAGATCGAAGTTTTTCTATATGAGATGATAAATCAATTGTTTTATCTAACTAGATTGATAGAAAGCTTTCCCCATTTCCTACAAGGTGTGATTGATAATGTATGAATATATGCTGATTTTGAGTAATGTAGATTATAACGCAATATGAACATAATGCTTAGAACAAAAAGGATGATCATCCTATTCTAGATGTAATCCACACACACAGAGACACAAACATACATATAGATATAAATCTATTGCCTTTTTCATGATCCCCTAAAAGGTACTTAACCACTCTAATGATTCACTTAAACCAAAAATTAAGTCCTCATCCCCATTTGGCATTAATGAAACACATGGTTGACCCAAATGTACCTTCCCCCATAACATTTCAATTCAACACATATCTGATGATCCCCTAGTGTGTAATGTTTTTTTGCGTGTTTTATATCAATTTAAATCCCTGGTAACAATGCCAAAAACATAACCCATCCCGAAATTACACAGTAATTAAACTTTCAAAAAAATGACAAAAAACTTGACCCAATTTATATTAAGTAGTTAATGTGCAAAATTAAAATACTTATAAAATATTTAAAATAGTCACACACTAGTGGTTCTACGCAAGTGCACGTATCACTTCAAGTAATATAGGACTTTCTTTAAAAATTTCAAAAACAATCTCACAGAGAAGCGCAATAAGCAATCCCTTAGGCTAATTCTAGTCTACTACTATAAAGTCTTAGTTTTAAAAGATGAAAATTCTTATGATACTAACTTAAATCACAATACTCAAACTATAAAAATTAAATTAAGAAAAACAAGTTAAAATGTGTTTAATGAATGCTAACAAACATGTAGCTAAAAGAACTAAGTTAACTAAACTAATAATTAAACTTCAAAAGTAAACATATGAAAACAAAACAAAGTTTTCGTGACGATGAGTTCAAATTTAAGAAAACATCCTTCCCCTTTACAATGAGTTTATGGGTTGTGAAGAAATTAAAAAAATTAAAATCATTTGAAAATAATCATTTGAAAATATATAAAAATTTTATTGTGCCAAATAGGAACAATCTTATTCTTTACACTCTTCCAAAGGCATAAAAAACATTGACTAATCCAGAGTTTGGTCCCTAATTCCGTGGTTAGGCTGGGAGGATACCGGCTACCACTATACCGGCTACCACTCAAGAGCTTCCATTACTCCCTAACCTGAGGGCTAACAATCTCGCATCGATTTCCAATCAACTAGACCAAATTGAGAATTTTAATCTGCCACTTTAAAATCTCTAAATCTGCATCCAACAAAGTATATTTCCCTATTTATTTGCACTAAACCTCATGGATGAAATACTTTCCCATGAAATCGAATGTGATTCTCCCCATGTGTAGAAATCATGTCCCTTTCAGAACATATGTTTCTCACCACATTTTAACATTTTAATTGGCCAAATCGAAAAGTAAATGAATATCAGAGTTCAAATCATCACAAATTATTGGCATTTAAAACCATATAAAACAAAATCATATCTTCACAAAACCATATGATGCAAGTGATAACATGGATGATAATGACACGACTTTAAGAGAATATTTAATTCAAGTTCCATGTGGGCCAATTACTAGATGTCGTGCAAAGAGGGTGAAAGAAGCTCTTAATGGATTAGTCCAAGAGGCTTGGACTCAAGCCAATTCATGGGGATCTAACGAGAGAGAGCCACAAAGATTTGTCAACTTATTCCCAGCCCAAGGATGAATGAGTCATATTATTATTGCTGGATATTTTGTATTTTTTATTAGGTTTAATAATGGCTTGCATGTCAATTTGATGTAGTTTTTTTTTCTTTTGTTTTAGAAGATATTTTATCTTCTCTTTTGTTTGCTTGTAAGCTTTAGCCTATATATAGGTCTTACTTCAAATGAGAAAGAGACTTTTGATTCTTGGCAAAAAAACTTGCATTTGGGTTGTCTCACACTGTTTCCTTAGGATTCCAACAGAACTCTAGGCCATCGCCTAAGGAGTTCTTTCTCGACTTATCAAGTGGATTTCCATCCCGTTTGTGGCGTCTTTCATTGTACCAAGGTTCTTTCCTTATGTCAAGAATAGGGTTGCAGTCTTATACCAATGTTCTTGTTTGCGTTGCGCATTGGGTCACGGTTTACTTCCATCTATCCATTTTACCACCAAGTTCTACCTATAATTCCATTTGTTCTAGCCTTGGGATGATTTTATTGTTTGTTTTCTTGCATCTTCGGTTTTGGCATAGCATATCCGATTTTCTAATGAGAACATCAATCCCCATGGTCCTGTCTTGCATATATGTACATCAGTTTGGTATTAGAGACTCACGATTCTTGAACACATAATTTTCTTGTTGGGCTTTTGTGTTCTTATTGGGTGTTTCTTTTTTTAGGTAATTAATGAGATTAGTTATTTTCTTGTTTCTTATGTCCAATTTTTACTAAGTAATCCAATTTGTAATTTCATTTTGTAATTAATTGTTCAATTAGCTGCTCTCATAATCATTCATATTTGTGTTCTTGTTAATATTTACATCGTTATTGGTCATGCGATTGTCCTCGTTATTATTCATATAGTTGTTCTATTTATTATCCAAATCGTCGAAATCAGTGTTCATGTTATTGTTCAAATCATCTTGTTCTTGATATTGTTTATGATAAATGTTGATCTTGATGTAAACTTTTTATTTTCATTTCTTGTTATTTTTGTTTCTTGAAATACAAATTATCTTGATGTGATCTTGTTATTTTTATTTCTTTGTTGATATTCTTGTTGTTCTTTATATCATTTCTTGTTCTTGATATGATTGTGCAAATCAGTTTAGTAGTGCTTTTGTTTTGATTCAAGATATCAAAATTCATATTTCATTATCATCATCCCAATGTTTTGCTTAATATTTTGATTTTTTTTTTATTTTTGGTAATTTAGAATTTGATTTGAGTTGTTAATTTCAAATTCTTGCTTACCTACCTACATTGTAAGTCCTCAATATGTCCCAAACAAATTTTGAAGAAAAGGAAAGGAAAAATGCCATTCCTAATCTCCAATTTCAAGCATTGGTGGGGGAGATGAGAAGAATGATGAGAGCTGAGTTAGAGAAAATTCATGAAAGATTGGAACGGGTAGTGGGAGGAATTCAACAAAGACAACCACAAAATATTTCCAATAGGCAAAGGGAGAGAGTTCCATCGAGAGGAGTGAGAGAGGAGGATGAAGAATATTATGAGGTTGGATCTGCTGAAGAGAACAATAGAGATTTATTTGTTGAGAGGAGGCGTTATGGTGGATAAGCGGAGCGTTATGGTGGATAAGCTAGAGACATTAGGAATAGAGACGATAACAACTTGACAAGTATTAAGATGCACATTCCTTCTTTTCAAGGAAAAAAAACAATCCTGAAGCCTATCTTGAATGGGAGAAGAAGATGAAATTAGTGTTCAACTGCCACAACTATTTCAAAATAAAGAAGGTGAAATTGACCGCCATTTATGCTATTTTTTGGTGGGATCAATTAATGTTGAGCAGGAGGAGAAATTGAGAATGTCCCATAGAAACATGGGAAGAAATGAAAGTTGTTATGAGGAAGCGATTTGTGCCAAACCATTACTATCAAAAGTTGTATCAGAAGTTACAAAGGCTTTGGCAAGGTAATTGAAGTGTGGAAGATTACTATCAGGAGATGGAGATTGCTATGATTCGGGCTAATGTACAAGAGGACCGAGAAGCTACTATAGCTAGATTCTTAAACGGTTTAAACCAAGAAATCCAAGATAGAGTGGAAATGCAACATTATGTGGAGTTGGAGGACATGTTACATGTGGCCATCAAGGTAGAGCAACAACTCAAGAGGAGGGATGGCCCACATTTGTCAACTAGTGTGGGTTCTTCATGGAAGAAAAATTTTCAGAAAAAAGAGGACAAACCAATTGCAAAGTTCAAACCCGAGCCAAGACAAGAGACAATCAACCATGGAACTCAAGGAAAAATTGACCCTTCCACTTCTAGAAATCGAGACATTA